ATGTGGGGAGGGTTCTCCCTTGCCAGACCTGCTCCTGTGGAGACTGGGCATGGTGGGGGAACCCCCCCCCCCAAACCCATTGCTGCTGCCACTCTCCTGTGGCATTCAAGCTGTGAGCCCAGCCCCCATGGAGCCCAGCTGGTGCATGCAGAAGTGGCTCTGGGGCTTTCTCCACCCCAAGAACAGAGGGGAAAGCAGCAGTGGCAGGTGAGGTGAGGTGAGGGTTGGGAAAGGGTGAGGAAGAGATGCGGCCGGCCATGGAGGGGAAAGGGGGAGGGATTCTTACCTGTTTTCAGGACTTGAAAAAGTTCCTGGGAGGCCTCCTTGCCTAGTCTGCCCATATCTGTAGACGGGGCAGGGAAGTGGGAGGGGAAAGGCTCCAAGTTGGGGGTTCAGCTATTCCTGCAGCATAGGTTGCTATTCCCACACCCCCATTTGCCAAATCTTGGCATAAACAGTCTTCTTCTTTCTGGTTCTTTTTAACATCACTATGCAGACACTTGCTGAATTGGTCAGCGGACTGGTACTCAGGTGCTAGCAACATACAAATGTTACACAGACTCTACCTATCCTTCCCCACATACAACAATACCACTATCACAAATATAGTCCAGGGCTTGGACTTGATTCACTCTCGAATGATGACTTCAGTGGCTGAAGCTGAACCTGAGCAAGGCAGAAGTGATGCTGCTAGACAGACAAAGTCATTTTGAAGAACAAGCTCGATCGGGCTTTAAACTAAGCCTGCTGGGAGATGGGTGGACAACCCCCAAAGCAAGCCCACTAGGCAACAACTACAAAGCCAACAGGCTAGGACACCCAAGGGAACCTACTCCTACCCCAGCCCTGGAACAGTGTCCTCCTGAGACTGTGAGGAAGCCTAGGGCTCCCAATGGGATATTTACGTGTCTGTACACCAATGCCAGGAGCTTGGGGAACAAAGAGGAGGAACTGGCCCTACTAAACAAGAAAGGCTACAATCTCATACGGATAACAGAGATCTGGTGGGACTCCACCTATGACTGGGCCACAGGTATAGACAGCTATACCCTGTACAGGAGAGATCATGCAGAAAAAAGGGGTGGGGGTGTAGCTTTATGTCAAGAAAAGCTATGCATCCCTGCAAGCCGACACTGGCACCCAGGGAGGACAACTAGAGACCCTCTGGGTTAAAATACGTGGGGAACGTGGGACAGGGGACACAATGGTAGGAGTCTGCTACAGACCTCCTAACTAGGAACAAAAGCTCGACCGGGAATTCACCAGGGAACTGGCTGAGGCTACATGCTCTTGGTGCACGGTCGTCACGGGAGACTTCAACTACCTGGACATCTCGCGGGAAGAGCACTCAGCCAAATCTGAACAATTCTTCCTCCCGTGCATGGACAAACCCTACCTGACCCAAGAAGTCTATGGATCAACAAGAGGTAAAGCATTGCTGGACCTGGTACTGGCTAAAGGAGGTGATCTAGTCGGCAGCCTAAAAATCAAAGGAAAGCTGGGAGACAGCAACCACAAGCTGATCACTTTTACTATCCATCGCAAAGCTGGCA